AACCTCAGCGCTGGCAACTGGATGGTGAGAGGCCAAGCCTGGTAGGGAGGGGACAGAGAGAATCCTAGGTATCCTGTTGGTGCCTACCTCTGACTTTGCCCAGGTTGGGAGGTGGGATAGGGAACACCATGTCTCCCCCAGGTCTGGGAGGTTCAGGGTCCTGGGAGGTTTGGGGCGCAAAGGATACAAGCTACAGGTAGAGTTGAGTTGCTTGGGTAGGACTTTGTCATGCCCGGGAGGAGGATCCAGCCGGCGGGAACAGCCAGGGTTCAGGGGGAGAGTGCCCGGGCGTATGGGCATGCCTGAGTCTACTGAGCACCCTACCTACCCCGTTGCCACAGTGGGCCACGTACATCCGCGCCACGGTGCGCAAGGAGCGTGGGCTTCCGGTGCTCGTGGAGCTGCTGCAGTCCGAGACTGACAAGGTGGTGCGCGCTGTTGCCATCGCCCTGCGCAACCTGTCACTGGACCGGCGCAATAAGGACCTCATTGGTGAGGACACTGGTGAGACTGAGCCGGGATACAGAGCCGGGTGGTCTGCTGTAGGGTCCCATCGGCAGGGGCTAGAGCACCGGCCCTGCCCCTGTCATTCCGTCCCAGCCACTGGACCTCCTGTCTTCCTGAATGGCCTCAGGGCCTGTCCCCTGTGACGTTGCAGCTTCTTGGGACTTTCCTGGTGGAGGCCCTGTTTGAATCCCCTTCCTTCTCGCTGGGGTGAGCAAAGGCATGTCCCAACACCTGCCCCTATCCTTCAGGGAACTATGCCATGGCAGAGCTGGTGCGGAATGTGCGCAATGCACAGGCTCCACCACGACCCAGTTCCCGCTTGGAGGAGGACACGGTGGTGGCCGTGCTCAACACCATCCACGAAATCGTGTCCGACAGCCTGGACAACGCGCGCTCACTACTACAGGCCCGAGGCATTCCAGCGCTGGTGGCACTTGGCGCTACCAGGTGGTTGAGAGCCTGGCATGGGGTGGGCGGGGCCCCCAGGGGAGAGGGGCGGGGCCGGCTGCTGGTTGCTGACCCGGCCCTGGGCCTGGCTGCAGCCAATCGGTACGTGAGGCGAAGGCCGCATCCCACGTGCTGCAGACTGTATGGAGCTACAAGGAGCTGCGTGGCGCCCTGCAGAAGGATGGCTGGACCAAGGCGCGCTTCCAGGTGCAGCATGCCTGGCCTTTCTTTCCCTCTTTGACTTCTCCAGGCTAGGTCCCCTACAGGAGCGCTCCTAACCCTGCACCCTGTCTGTTTTGCGCATCCCTTCTCATACACAGTCAGCCACTGCTACTGCCAAGGGGCCCAAAGGAGCACCAAGTCCTGGAGGCTTTGACGACAGCACGCTGCCACTGGTGGACAAGAGCCTTGGTGAGGACCAAGTGGGGACATGGAAACCTATCCCTAAGATATGAGAGATGCTTTTCCACCCAGGGGTACTGATAGTGACAAGGCAGGTGAGGGCTGTGGGGCCCTTTCCTGGCTTGCAGCCTCCTACAGCCTTTCCACCATGGTGTCCACATTGATGCTAAGCTGGGGGTGGTGCTGTCAATGACAGAGGCCTGGCAGAATGGTGCAGAGAAGTTAGTGACGAAGGGTCCCTGAGGCCAGTCATGCTGGGGGTCTGTCCTGGTATCCCCTCTGCTTCTTGCAACCCGCCAGCCACCTGGCTTGTGCCTTGCAGATGGTGAGAAGCCAGGTAGCCGGGATGTGATCCCCATGGAGGCACTTGGCCCAGGTGAGTACAGATGATGCAGGGTGAGGAGGAGGGGAGAGGTGCTGAGATGGGCCAGGTGGTTTTGTCTTATGTGTTTGGTGCTGGAAAAGTCTTCCAAGGAGATTGGAAAAGAGATTTGGTTTAGTGGTGCTGATGAGGGGGATGGGCAGCCAAGGAGGGGTCAGTGCCCAGCCAGGGTCTGGCCTGCCAGCTGCAGGGGACTGGGCAGGGGCTGGAGGGTTCTGAGCCGCCATGGTGGGAGGAGCCGTGAGAAGACCTGGCCTAGTCCTCCTGCACAGTGCTGAGGTGGGGCAGGTGAGCCCCCTGCGTCTGGGCTGAGAGGGACATCTGCTCCTGCGGTGCCTGCCACTCAGAGTTCCCCTTATGTCCCCACCCCAAGACGGATACTCCACTGTGGACCGGAGGGAGCGGAGGACTCGAGGCAGTGACCCTGCAGGGGAGGCCTCTGAGAAGGAACCGTTGAAAGTAAGTGGCTGTGAGCAGGTGCCTAGAGAGGTGACATAACTAGGGCTTGCCTGAGAGGGGTCCTGGCAAGGTGCTGAGTTTAGGCTGCCTGGTCTGGCTGGGGTGGAGCTCACCTGGAGGGCAGCTGGGCTGGGAAACCAAGCCTGGGGACAGGCCCTTCCGTCTTGAGAGCGTTACTGGCAGAGTCAGCGTATGGGTACAGGTGACTTGAAGCTCATACGCACTGGGAGAGAGAGGGCACGGGACAGGGGCACTGCCCAGAACAATGCACAGGGCCACGGGAGTCTGAGCGAGTATGTCTTCTTCACCTTTCTCTGCCTGTGTGTGTGGGTGGGCAGTGGGTGAGGGCCCACCATGGTCCTGACTCCATGGCAGCACCTCCCAATCCACTCTATGCAGTCCCCTGGCTTTGGGCACAGGCCTGTGTGTGTCCACGTGTCACTCTGCATCTATGTGAGCCACACTAGCTCAGCGCCCCCTTCCTTCGCACCCTGGCTCTGGCCTTACCCACTGAGCGGCCCAGCCCCAGTCTATCAGCACTGACTAATCTGCTGTATTCTGCCTCTAACGCCCTCCTGCCCACTGCCCGTCCGCTGCAGCCCGACCCCGGCAGGAAGGCTCCGCCTGGGCCCAGCAGGCCTGCGGTCAGGCTGGTGGACGCCGTGGGGGACGCTAAGCCTCAGCCCGTTGACTCCTGGGTCTAGCTTGCATGCCTGGTACGTTCTCTCATCTGGTTTTTCATTCAGCTGTTTCCCGTCCTCTGGGCAGGGGCTTCTCGTTAATCTCTGCTGGCTGCATGTTCTGTCCCTCCGTGCTCCCTGGTGGGACCCGGACTTCAAACTCATCAGGTTTAAATGCCCATTTTATGGACAGGCTAAGGTCTGAGAGGGACATGCTTCCCTGGGTCTTCAGTCCCAGCTCAGGTCAAGGGCCCAGAGGAGATAAGGCCAGACAGCAGGGATGGTTCCCCCACATTTAAATGCCCTAAGCACAGTGCCCCCTGAGGACCAGCAAGTCAGACTGGCCCTGATGCCCAGACTCTTGAGGTCAGCCTGCACCCCTCAGCAGCTGCCTTTGTCCACACTTTCATTGGCAGAGCCTGTGGAGGGGTCCGCATAGCCACCAGGCCACCCTGCTCAACCTTCCCCCTCTCCCTCCTTAGGGCTCGGGCCCAGCCATTTGTTCTTAGGGATCTGATCATGGGAAGAAGGGAACTCCAGGGCCGGCCCTCACAGACCCTGCTGTGGAGCTTGGAGCCCCCTGGCGTCAGGGGTTGGCAGCGCCTCGCCTGGGAGCCAGGGCCGGACATTTTGGACATACCTCCCTTCCTGCCCCCGCCTCCTAACTCCTTAGGCTGAGTTAGCTGTTTACTGACATGGTGCTGTGTGCGAGTGAGAGAGAGGCGGCCGGTGGAGCTGCCAGGGTGGGGCCTTTGGGGCTGGTGATATAGAAGTGTGCTCTTGTATGCGCAGGGCCCCAGAAGAGCCTGGCAGGGAGGGGGGCTCAGAGAAGGAGTTTAACTCTGGAAGGTGGAGGGGATCCGCTGGGCTCTGAGTCTCACCCTGCATGGCCGACAGAACACTGGCAGGGGCTGGCCCATGCAGAGAGGCTCCGGAGGCAGTGAGACAGGGGGGTCAGGCTGTGCTTGCCCCACCCTGCGCTCGGATACACGGAGCCCCAGTGCGGCAGGAGCCTTCCCTGAGCGACTCTGGCCTGGGCCGTGGCTGCCAATCCTGTCTGCCGGAGCCCTGAGTCACACCTCTGGGACTGACCTTCGGCAGCAGCGGGGGACTGCTGCCTAGTGCCTGCTGTTTGTGACTTAAAAACAGAAGAAAAACACTGACAAAATTAAAAATGAAAACCAAAATAAGACTGTATTGGTAAACACCTAAATTTTTTTAAGAAAATTTAAAAATTAAAAAAAGCAACAAAGGAACTTTCTATCTCCCATGCCTCACATCCTTTGCCAGCTCCTCCCTGTTTGGCAGGTGGGGAATGTGTAGAGGTGGTGTCCACAGGGGGCTCAGCTCCCAGGCCCTGGGAGTGTTTCCACACATGGCCGCCCAGGCTCGCTGCGATCCCCTTTCTACACACTCAGGGGAGAGGGCTTGCTCCCGGGTGGTTAGCTGTGACCTGGGTCTCAGGGTGGTGTCCTGGCCAGAGGTTCGCCTGCATGCAGGTGGGCTCAGCCAGGATGGGGTGGGGGGTGGGGGAATCCCTGAGGAGCCTCTGAGGTAGCCAAGGGGCCTTGGGGCCAGGGGGCCAGGGTTGGGACTGGGGATTTAGGCAGCTGTGGATTTAGGTGGATGCCAATTGGTGAATTGGTGAATTCCAATTGGTGAAACCAATTCTACTTCAGCAATTGCTAGCTGGGCAACCTGTGTAAGTGCCAGAGCTGGTCTGAGCCCACTCTTCCATAAACAAGGCCACGCAGGACTGGGCAAGTTCCTTTTACTCAGTGCCACACCGGGACCCCAAGGGGCCAGGGGCCAGAGAGACCACACCTTGCACTGTGGCGCGGCCCCACGTCCACCTTTCCCTAGTGCCTGCTTGGTCAGAAATGGACACAGGCCAACCAACTGCCCTGTTCCAGTTTCCCAGGACAGCCTCCAGATGGGGGCTCACCTCAGCCTACGGACATCCCCGTGGCGATGCAGCCAGGTACCCCCAGCCTGGCCACATGAGCCGCTAGGTCAGCACTAGCCTCCAGTGAAGGGACACATTGGGTGTGGTGCTAGAGGTGACGGTACCACAGGAAAGCAGCAGCAGGGCAACAGTTAAAAAGAAGCACTAGGCTGATCTCTTCTATTTAAATATTTAGATTTTTAATTTCTCTTTTAGCATTTTTTAAACATGATACTGATAGAGTTATTAACAGTGAGCTGATTTTAGTAAAGAAGTTGCATTTCATTCTTAAAAAGGAGGTGAAAGAATGCAGGAATCACAAGTGGATCGAGTTGTTGGGCACAGTGCCCATCACTGAGGCATTGCTGCCACCTGGTGACGGCAGACCTCAAGGACAGACTGAACACAGCCCAACAGTTTCCACGTGTTCCCAACTCCCCCTACCCCCCACCCCACCTCACTTCCAATGTCTGCTGAATATGTTGGTGCCTGAGGACCTGTCCATGTGAGAAACCTCCTTGATCTAAAATGCTGGTGGGAGTGAATGATACCATCACGGGCACCATCTGTCCTGATTGGTATTTACAAACATACTTTCCAGATGTATTGCAGTGATCTTGCATGGTAAGCTGGCTGCGCTTGGGGTGGACCAGAGGTGACAGCCCAGAGTCGCCGTGCAGAGCGGCCAGTGTGGGCAGGCTTTGGCCTCACAAGCCTCAAGTGTGCTACATTGAGGACAGACCCCAGAACTGCAGAAGCAGGGTTGGCGGGAGCACATCTGTTGTGTCTTCATAACCAGGCTTGGCAAGGGAGCCTGGAGTGGGGGGTGGGTGGGGTGGTTTCAAGGCTATGCTGGGCCCTCTAGGCCCATGTAGACAGCCTTCTCCAGGCCATCCACTACTTTCGAGTACTCCAGGTATGAGGTGAAGTGTGTACACTCAAAGCGGCTGCTGTTGCGCACATATGCCAGGAATTCTGGGGCTCCTGGGCAGATGACGTTGTCGGCCAGCACCACTGTCCCCTTCCGTAGAAGGCCACACTCCTGCAGGGGACAGATGGTGGGAAGGGGTGAGGGTGATGAGTGCCCACCAAGCCAGCTCCAAACGGGGAAGATAGGTGCTCTTGGCCAGGTGGAGGCTCCACGCACTGGCCTCTGTCTGGCCTGGAGTCAGCTCCTCTCCAGTTCCTGGGGTCATGAGGGTCTCCCCACTGCTTCCCTTCTCCTCCCCGGCAGCAACCACTTGAAGAAAGGGCTGTGCTGAGCACAAGTCCTGCCTCCAGAACGTGGCTCTGTGAGGGCAAATCTTTTGCTCCTTGTTAGGTCTTGCGTCCCCAGCCCCTAAAACAGCACGTAGCAGGCACGGTGGCTAATCATGCTAGCTGGATGAGTATGTGGAGAAGGCATTGGAGCCAGGATTCAGCCCACAGGGCTGATTCAAGGCCAGTGGGTCCCTTAGCCACCCAGTGCCAGGAACACATGGCTCTTACAGGTGAGACGCCTGGTGCCCAGTGCCTGAGCTGCTGTGCACTGTCACTGGAGGTCCTAATTGACCTGACCAGGTGACCCTGGAGGGATGGGGGTAGAGGCAGGGCAGACATCCCCACCCAGAAGCCTGCCCCTCGGGGGTTTGCCCTGGACATTCCCAAACTTTGGCATCTGACACACCCCATCTCTACTAATGCCTGGGCCCGGCCTCTGCAGAAGGAAGAAGCGGCAGCTGGACCCAGCCAGGATGGTGAGCTGGGGGTGGGGCTGCCTAGAATACAGGAAACCATAGGAAAAAACTTTGAGAGGAAACGGTTGCCTGTGGCGGAGGGACAGACCAGGGCAATGGTCACCCCAGTTCCCTTGACCTAGATTTAACTCTGGAAGCATGGAGCTTCTTTTTCACATGATCATAAAATTAAAAAAAAAAAAAAAAAGCAATGCCAAGCATCAGAAGCAGAATCAAAGTGCCTCCAGGAGTGTCTCAAATCTCAAAAGGCAGTCACTTTCAGCCTGTGGGCTGTGGGGGAAGCCAAGGGTCCTCTGGCCACAGTGGAGAAAACAGCTGTGAGGTCAGTGAGGCTAGGGACAATCCATGAGCCAGAATTTGAACAGAAAGTATCACTGTGAATCAAGGGGCGTTTTCTCTTCTTAAAAAAAAAAAAAACCTCCCTAGGAATCTTGGCCAGAAAAACCTAAAACAGAGCTGTCCAGGAGGAGGTGCCCCTGGCCCAGGACCTAGAAGGGAAGCTCGGGTCTTGGGCAGGAAATAGACAAGGTGAGCCAGGAGTAGGGCTCTGAGCCTCATATATGGGGTCGAGCTGCTGGGGAGGTGACTTCAGGAGGCACTGCTGGCCCCAGATGGGGCAACAGTGGACTGAAAGTCATCAGACCCGAAAAAACAACAAGTTGACCATGAAAGAAGGAATGAAAGGAAGCAGCTTTGGACATGTTCAGAGGGTGCTGGGGCCTAGCCATCCTTGAGGAAACTGGACAGAAGGGAGAGAATGGTAGCACTTATCCCACCTTTCACCACACATTCATATGCCTCCTGATGGAGGACACAGACCACCTGGAGAAGTCCACCACATCTGAGCAAACCTGTTGTGCTAACCCCTGCCGGGAGGAAACAGCCTTCAGAGGACCAGGTAGCCTGTACTTGAGGTGCTTTTAAACTCTGTCTGCAGTTCCTTTTCCACTGGGTGTGTGCCAGGCTTAGTGACTCGCTTGTAACGAAGAGAATGAGGCAGAAGCGGCAGTGCACACCTTCAGAGACGGTCCTACAAGGCACTGTGGCTCCCTATTGCTCCTTGCATCTGTCACACATCCCTGGCTGTGGAGAAAGCCAGCTGCCATGTTGTGAGGACACTCAAGCAGCCCTGTGGACAGTCCATGTGACACGGCCCTGGGTCCTCTTCAGAGCAGCCACCAGCCCCTGCCAACCCCTAAACCCCAACCAAGGGAGATGTAGCTGGGCCACCGCAGAACCAGGCTGACCCAGCATAAGTCAAGGGCCCGCAGAGCCTAGCTGCAGGGCTTCACAATGCGTGTTTAAAAAAGTACAGTCATTCCCAATTCGTGACTTCTTTTCTTCTGAGATAATTACCAGCTTTGAACAAGCAGCACTGAGAAAACTATTAGTTTCCTAGTTACTAAATGGCAATATTTGCTACTTTTCTATAAATGTAGGCCCCTGTAATTATCACATACACCAAAGCTGCTGAAATCCCCTCCCCTCTCCCTGTGCAGGCCCAGCTGGGTCGGCTGCCTGGCCTCTGCCCTCAACACCTGATTTCACCCCCCTGGTCTGGAGTCAGGCCTCCCCCAGGCAGCTGTGCTCCCCTTAGCTGCCTGGTTCCTGGGCCATGGGTCTCCTTGACAACCCCCAACTGACCACCTATCTCAGCCAATGCAGGTGACGACCGGTCTGACTTCTAGCCCATGGATCCCCCTCCCCACTCTCAGCCCTTCCCTGAGTTTTCCAAGTCTCTGCACCACCCTCTCCGTAGCCATCTCTCCCCACTGTCCCCAACAGGGATCCTTCCTGAGGATGGGTCTAACCATGTTCTCACCTGCTTAAAGCCCCTCATGTCCTCACCCTGTGTGCCATTCGAGGCCCTCCACACATGGCTCTGGCCCACATTCCCAGAACATCCCGTGTCTCCACAGCACCCAGGCCAGGGCTGGTTCCTTCCTGCTTTGTCCAGGCACCTGGCCCTCCATGCCTGCTCCAGAACCACTCACTCACTGCATGCAAGGTCCTGCCCAGCCTTCAGCCATGGCTTCGGTGGCCATGCATACCATGGTCATGTCCCTATGCCCTAGGCCAAGTAACCAGCCCCTGTGAAAACTGAGATAGGTTAGCATGACACAGACAATAGGGGACCCCTCCATGCTGGCCTCGAGGTGGGGAGCCTGTAGGGAGGCAAAACATCCCAAGCTCCCAATGGAGGGCCAAGTAGCCACTAAGTGTGATCTTGACTTGTCCCAACTGATAGCAGTCATTAATACTAAGCTTTGTGTGTCAGCTCATTAATGGCCTATCCAGGGGATGAGGCAGTCTCACTGGTCACCACTTTGGGGCTGGCCAAGCAGCAGCATTGAGGGCTGGGACAGGATGGCGTAGGCGGGTGTGGAGATAGGGGTGCAGGGGGATGCACAATAAGGAGCCTCTGGGGAAAGTGGGCAGGAGATGCCCCGTTAGTGCTCACCCCTCCCTGCCGCCCCCGCACAGGCCACCTAGCGGGCCTGGCCGAGCTTTTTCGCCCAGAACCACCTTCCTCCCGTCTCCACACCCCCCTTCAGGCCTCCTCTGGCCCTCCGTGCTCCATGACCTCAGGTTGGCCTGCCCGAATCACCTGACTTGGGGCAGCCCCTGCACCAGCAGCCAACACCAAGGCCCGTGTGGACCCGGTAGGCACACAGCTCACCTCCAGGAGGAGAGTGTCTGGCAGGTACCGGTCCTTCCAGTGGTCAAGGAAGACCATGTCTAGCGTGTCCACGTCGTATTTCTTCTTCAGCTGGGGGATGATGTCCTGGGATGGCCCGGCCACAACGGTCACCTGGAATGGCACTCTGTTGGTGTCCACACCCACAGGGGACAGGCTACCCTGCCTGGACACCCACTGAGTGTCCTCACCAGTCTTCTCTGGGGTCCTGGGGAGTTAAGACCCCACTATACCCCCTCCCTCCAAGGACAGCCTGGGAGTTTCCTGCTCTGTGGAATGGGGGCACAAGACCTCCCTCACAGAGTTCCTGGGGGTTCCGTGAAACCTGGCCTAGGAGGCACCATGAGGCTAGGTATGACAGGATAAATGTGGTCTCGAACTGCATTGGGGCGGCCCAAACCCTTTCCCTCCCCCTTGCACCTGGCCCCTGGCCCCTCAGTGTCCACATTCATCACCCTGGGGCAGCAACAAACCCTGTCCTGCAGGCCTGCAAAGTCCAACATCTGCTGGGTGATGGCAGCGTAGTCAGGGTTGAGCTCAATGGTGAGCAGGCGGGCCCCAGGCTCCAGCAGGCGGCCCATGCGCACAGCTGAGTAGCCGCAGTAGGCCCCCAGCTCTAGCACCACCGATGGGCGCTGCTCCTGCACCACTGCATCCAAGATCTGGCCTGCGGGGCAGACGAGAGGGTGAGCACAGGCAGAAGGAGGTGACCCACTCCTGGTCCTGGACCTACTCCTTCCGAACTGATCATCGGTCCCTACAGATGCCTGCCTCCCATTTCCTGTGTCCGACTAAACACACCCTCCAAGCTCCCAGGATCCCTCAGGCCTCTGGGCCTCAGCACACTCCGGTCCCTCTCTTTCACGATTCCTGGCTGACCCCAACTCACCCTAAATGAGAGTTGCCCTCTGTAGAAGCCCTCACCCCACCCTGCCCATGGACTGCACTCATGGCCTCCCTGGCTCCCTGGGCTGGACAGTGGCTATCCTATCTGTCCCCAGGGCTCAACTCCCAGGGGTGCAGCACAGCACATGCCTGTGCCCCAGGCTGGAGTCCAAATGTCAGGAGGCAGCCCTGGTGGCTGTGCTGGGCAGAGTCCAAGGAGCACTGTACACCCTCATGACCAGCAGGGACAGCCAGGAACCCACTGCCTGCCTTGCACCCTCACGCAGCTCCATGAGACAGCATACCAGTGCCAGGCCTACCACCAGCTCGTAGGTGAGAGGTATGTGGCAAGGAAGGGTCCCACGGAGTTTGTCAAATGTTCCTCCCTCCCCACGAGGATGGTGATGTGGGTGTCAGGGTCTCTGCACAGCCTTTGCCCCTGGCCGGCGAACAAACAGGTAGGTGATCGGCTCCGGCTTCTAGCACTCCAGACAAGCTCCTACCCCAGCATCCAGAAACAGGGTGATAACAGGCCTCTCCTTTATAGGCTGTGCTGCTCCACAGGGGGGTCCCCATTCCCATGCCCACTACCTGCAGGCTGGGCTGCCTACCTTTCTTGTCACCCACATTCATAGCCCACTCCTTCTGCGAGCAGTAGGTATCAATGGCCTCCAGCACGCTTTGTGGGTCCCCGGCCACCGCGTGCTGCAGCACATGACGCAGGATGCGCTGCTCCTTGGTGTTGCCCATGAACAGGTTGTAGAGAGGCTGCACGATGAACTCGTTCCAGCAGATAAAGAGAATGCCGAAGGACGAGTGGCAAAGCAGCAGCACTAGCAGCACCAGGCCCAATGAGAAGGCTGCCAATAGCAGGGGTGGGGCCTCCAGCATCTGACGTAGGTCACAGGTAGGGTGGAGTGAGGAGGAAGGGAGAGAAGGGGGAGAGAAGAGAGCCAGGCGGGAGGCAGCGGGCTTCAGTGCTTTGTGGCTGGCCAGGAAGCCCTGTAGCCAGCTCCAGAGCTCAAACCCCCTTGGCATTAACTGCAGACCTGCCCCTCCTGGCTTACCCACGCTCTCCTCAGTTTGGGGGTGCTGCCATTACCCCTCATTGCTGATGGGGGCCCCAGGTTCAAGAGGCTAGCTATGTGTCCCAGTTGCCAGGCTTATCTCAGCTGTCTGTCCCCAAACAGCCTCCTGCCCCATGCCCTCAGGTGCACAGAGTAGGTGTGTCTGGCTGTCCTGCCTGGGGACTTGCTGATCACAGCTCTCCTCCCTGGGTGCTTTTCCAGACAGCCTGCGCCAGGTGCTGCCCTGACAGAGGTGGGCATGGGGGAGGCTCGGTCCTGTGTGTTCCCTTGGGTGCTCGTAGCAGGAACAGTCCAGGAGATTCATGTGGCCCTTTAAGTGAGTTCCCAGGTAAGAACACAGGCAGTCCCCAGTCCAGGCAGTCAGGGCATAGATCCACTCCCCACTCCCCTCAGGGATGGCCACACGTGGTGTGTCTGTCCCAGGATGACAGCCAGCCCTGCCGCCTATACCATAGATAAGCGAGACATGTCAGCTCTATCAGACAACTGACTACCAGTGCGGCACAACCTCCCCCTGCCAAGCCACCCTTCAGGCAGGTAGTTCGGGATCCAGGCAGGTGGGGCCTGGGACACACAGACAAGACTGAGCCACTAAGCCCTGGGCTCTTCATTAGCACAGAGCAGAGTTCAAGCTACTCAGGGAGGATGCTCAGATTTCAGGCCAGGCACCTTATAAAATGGGAAAAGACAAAAGAAAGGAACATGGGAAGCTTCTGTTGGGGCCCATGGTCGCTACAGATTATTCACAGGGAAGGCTTGCTGAACCCCAGCCACCACCACACGGGACCCTGCACCCTCAGAAGCTCCCATTTGGAAAGGCACATCAGGGAGAGCAGGCAGGCTGAGGGCCTCAGTGGGAGGAGCACCTGAGGACCGTTGAGGGTTCCAACCCCCCACACCCTGGGCCATGAGGAGACGGTGGTGGCTTGGGGGACAGGGCAGAGGATGAACAGGAAGCTGAGGCTCTGCCCCAGATGAGTGTAGACACCCAGATGCTGGTGGTATAGGCCATGTGGCCTATTTACATAAGGCAGAGTGGATGTATTGGCAACAGGTCAGAGTATCACACACAGTGGCCCCAGTTCCTTGGCCCACACTTGCTATTCTGCTCCCAGTACCACCCTGACCTTCAGAGCCACTCTCACAGCTGGCTCCTGCCCTGCCCTCCGTGCTGATTGAGGGGTCTGTGTGCTCCTCTGACCTCAGCAGCAAGGCTGATATTTGTGCAGAATTCGTTTGCCTTTAGATAATCACTGACAGAAACTGTAGCCTGAAAATGACCAGGGCCCAGATATCTGGGCCCCTTCCCAGAGGCCACCCCTGCCCCCTTCAACTTTCCATCCTCTGAGAGCAAAAGGCCCCAAAGAGGTAGTGAGATGTCCCCTGCAGTGTTCCCCAGCCGGGGACACCAGGGAGAGTCTCCCTGGACCTCATAAGCACTGCCCTGCAAGTTATGACAGGATGTGCATCTATGCCTTATGAAAAGCAGGAGAAATGGATGAACTACTTTGCTTAAGCCACATTTCCCCAGGAAAATAACTATAAATTTAGAAATGACATAGAAGACCAAGAGTGAGTTACAAAGAACACTGACAAATTAATGAGAAAAAGATGATCCAGAGATAAAAACGGGCCAAGAGGGCAAATACACAGATTATACCAGAAGGCCCGAAGTCCAGAGCAGGTGCATGGCAGGTCATGGCAGCACAGTGGGGTGTCCCTGCCTGGGATGTACCCTGGGCCCCACCATGCCAGAAAGTGTGAATCGGGTATTCTGTCTGCCATAGCTCCAGGGATCACCCTGGGAAAGGGCCCCCACAGGGCAGCACGCACCATGACCCAGCAGGTGGATGAAAGCAAGACACAGGGTGGGGGGTGGGTACGGGGATAAGGGCAGAGTGTCTCTTTTCTAGGGGACAGAAGACAGGGAACAATGAGGGGAGGCCCATGCAGCCTGAAGGAGCCAGAACTTTCCACTGCTTAGGATTTCCTAACCACACATCTGTGTTACTTTATCATTACTATTAATACTCATAATAGTGTTTGTATGATGATATAATAGGTCATATTGTTTTATTCTCCATGTTTTAAAGAAATTCAGTAAATGTTGGGAATATCAAAAGTAAGAAGTAATATTCCACTCAAATAATCAATTACTTGCTGGACCCTGGAATCATAAATTATAAATTTCAATCTGCATAATACTCAAATTCTGTTAAAAACCTGGCTTTTAAATCTCTAATCTCTAGGTCTGTCTGTTCATAACTTTGCAGAGCACTGTGTTCCTCAAGGCTGACAGGAGGGCACAGGGAGGGGCCACACCTGAGAGGCGGCTCTGCTTTGACTTTGAGTCCTGGTTACCTAACAGACATGCAAACAGAAAGCACAATGATGGGACTTTAGACCACCACAAGGGGAGGAGGTATCATTAGGAGGATAAAGGAAACTCAACCCTGGCCAAAAGGCCAGGGCATGGAAGCCATGTGGCATGCTGAGATCCTCTCTTTTTTGTATGTTCAAAACAGGCCACAAGGGTTAAGTTTTTAAGTGGCTCACTGAGCACGGTTTCAAACACAGTTTCTTGACCACATTGAGGGCTGGAGGCAAAGCTTCAGTGCAGGATCCTGGGTTTCCTATCTCTCATGACTGCTGACCTCAGGGCAGTGGTGGCAGTGCAGAGAGAAGCTGCTTCAGGGTTTCACTGAAGTGGCTTTATAGGGCCTCCACAGATGATACGTTTAGTATCATGAGGACATGAAAGAAATAAAGGCACAAATTAACAAAAAGACATCCCATGTTCATGGACTGCAAGATAGGTATTGTTAAGATGTCAATACCACCCAAAGCCATCTACAGATACAATGCAATTCCTATCAAAATTCCAATGGCATTCTTCACAAGAATAGAAAAATCCATTCAAAAGATCATTTGGAATCTGAATGGCCAAAACAATTGTGAGAAAGAACAAAGATGGAGGATTCACACTTCCTAATTTCAAAACTTATTACAGAGCTACGATAATTAAGACAGTGTGTTAGTAGCACAAGATAAACATACAGACCGACAGAACAGAACTGAGGCCAGAAATAGACACTCATGTCTATAATCAAATGATTTCCTTCCTTCCTTCCTTCCTTCCTTCCTTCCTTTCTTTCCTCCCTCCCTCCCTCCCTCCCTTCCTTCCTTCCTTCCTTCCTTCCTTCCCTCCCTCCCTCCCTCCCTCCCTTCCCTCCCTCCCTCCCTCCCTCCCTCCCTCCCTCCCTCCCTCCCTCCCTTCCTTCCTTCCTTTTGGAGAGAGAGCTACAGCATGAGTTGAGGAGGGTCGGGGGTGGGGGGGTAGGGAGAGAATCTTAAGCAGGCTTCAGGCCAGCACAGAGGTCAACAAGGGGCTCAATCTCATGACTGAAAAATCATGACCTTATCCGAAATCAAGAGTTGGAAGCCCAACTGACTGAGCCACTCAGGTGCCTCTACCAAATCATTTTGTAACACGAGTGCCAAGATCACTCAGTGGGAAAGAACAGTCTCTCTAACAAATAGTTCTGGGACAAATAGATTCCCACATGCAAAAGAATGAAGCTGGACTCTTACCACACACCACATAAACAAATAAACTCAAAATCAATCAGACTTGACTTTCAGAGCTATAACTATAAAACTCTTAGAAGAAAATATAGGAGTAAATCTTCATGACCTTGGATTTGGCAATGGATTCTTAGAAATGGCACCAAAAACACAGGTAACAAAAGAAAAATAAATTTAATTTTATTAAAATTAAAAGCATCAGTGGGGCGCCTGGGTGGCTCAGTTGGTTAAGCGTCCGACTTCGGTTCAGGTCATGATCTCACAGTTCGTGGCTTCAAGCCCTGCATCGGGGTCTGTGCTGGCAGCTCAGAGCCTGGAGTCTGCTTCGGATTCTGTGTCTCCCTCTCTCTCTGCCCCTCCCCTGCTCATGCTCTGTCTCTCCCTGTCTCAAAAATAAGTTGAAAAACTATTTAAAAAATTAAAAAAAAATTAAAAGCATCAAAGGACACTATCAAGAGAACCAAAGGACAGCCCATATTTGGAGGAAATAAATCATAAATTCCTACACAGCAATAACAAAAAAAACCCAAAAAACCCAAATAGAAAATGGGCAAAGGTCTTGAATAGATCATTTCTCCAAAGATCTACAAATGACTGGTAAGCATAAGGAAAGATGCCCAACATCATTATTCATAACAATGCAAATTGAAACCACATGATATACTATTTCATACCCACTAGGATGGCTATTTTCTTTTCTATTGTTTTTTATCCTTTTAAAAAATTTATTTATTTACTTTGAGAGAGAGACAGAGTGTGTGCACACAAGTGAGGGAGGGGCAGAGAGAAGGAGAGACAACATCTCAAGTGGGCTCCATGCCATTAGCACAGAGCCCAACACAAGGCTTGAACTCCTGAACCGTGAGATCATGATCTGAGTTGTGATCAAGAGTTGGACACTTAACCGACTGCACCAATCAGGTGCCGCAGGATGGCTATTTTTAAAAACTTTTTTTTTTTTAATGGAAAATAACAGGGGCACCTGGGTGGCGCAGTTGGTTAAGTGTCTGACTCTTGATTTAGTCTCAGGTCATGGTCTCATGGTCCTGGAATTGAGCCCCGTGTTGAGCTCTGTGCTGGGCATGGAGCCTGCTTGAGATTCTCTCCCCCTGCCCCGCCCCTCTCCCATTTGTGTGCACCCTTTCACTCTCTCTCTCTCTCAAAAAAAAAAAAAAATATATATATATATATATATGCACATATATATATATAAATAAC